CGGCAGCCTACGTCTATTGCAGCATAACTAAGGGAGGATTCAGGGTCACCTGGTCCAGCCCTAACTATATGCTTTAGCAAACAGGAAAGTTTGAATCTTAAAAGTAGAGATAGTGTCTCCTGAATCCAGACTGGAAGCTGGTCCCGAGTGAAATGCACGGCCGTGAGGTCACACTGCCTCCGGTCCCGTTACCTTGGCAACAGTTAAATCTGACACAGCGAGCGTGAAAGCTTAAGTTTAATAAAAGGGCGTCTTCTCGCCAGGCTCCAGTGATCCTCACGTCAAAAACAGGAAATCGAAAATATCCGATTACTGTAGAAAAACAAAACCAGCCCCCACCACCTCCGCCTGTGTCGCCATCCCTCCAGTCAGAGAGGCCACGCCCCACACAGGCGAGTTATGTACACACCCCGCACAGGGTGTGAGTCTGTGGGGCTGGCTCACTGCTGCCTCTGCTGGTCGTCAGAGGAACTGCAGGCCTTCATGTTTCAGCCCGTCGGGTTGGCGTGTGTATTCGTGTTTTATGAAACAAAAGATAGAAACAGGGTCTTCTCTCTGATTTGCTGCCTCTGACTGTGACATCTCCGCCACTCGCCGCCTCGCCGATCCAGGAACCTCGTACATCCTCTCGAAGAACACACCATGGCGAGGCTGGGCACGCTCAGACCGGTCACGTCTGTTTTGTTTGGCAGCTCGTTGCTTAGCTTCACGTGTTGCTCGTTTGTCTGCTGACGTGGCGACTAACTCGTGAACTCATGACACGGACGCTGCGGCAAACGTGAACACTCCGACCAGGCGAACTTCCCGCCTGTTTTGCTTGTGTTTGTTATGGAAAGCCTGTGAGTGATGGCAGGGATTAAGGTCGCCGCTTCCTGGACCGCTGTGATTGGACGGTTTGTGAAAGGGTCCGACATCGAGGTGAATTCATTCGCTCGATGATTCGTGTGAACGAGAGAAGGAAATTTATTATTCAGACATGAGACGACACGTTAAAGTGTGTGTGTGTGTGTGTGTGTGTGTGTGTGTGTGTGTGTGTGTGTGGTGTGCAGTTGGTGTAAATGGCATTTTCATGGCAAACAGCTGGACTGGTTTATTTAAACATGGTGGTGGTGGGGGGGCTGACCTCAAAATGACTCCCTCAGTGGGCGGAGCTTCTACATGTTTTACAAGCAGGCGGTTGGGGAGTGTGTGTGTGTGGTGATTAATAGATCTGCTTTGTTTAAACACTGACTGTACAGAGCGGCCCGAGCCCCGCCCCTCCCTGCCCCTCCTCGCCGGGCGGTGGGGGTCAGGAGGCCGATCGTCCTTCGAGGCTACGCCCGAAGTTTTCATTATTTCAGAGAAATCCGGTTCTGGTCTCGTTGTTTTCCTCTGGCTTTAAATGTGTTGGAGGCAAGAAACAAAATGGCGGCCTAGTGCTGCAGAAGGATTGTGACCACGGCCTCGCACGCGGTCCCAGATGTAAGACTTTCAGTCGCCCTGGCAGGTCGGTTCTGGAGGTCTGAGGAGCAGGACGGTGGATGGTGTTTCCTGTCTGAGACTTGGAAACGGCTCCTAGCAGGTTTTTGAGTGCGCCGGTTCCAGCGGCGAAACCTTTGTGGTGATGGGGCTCGCGGTTCCTGTGGGAGCGTACGTCTTCTCTGCAGTTGACCTCTGCAGAGTGACCATGTGACCTCTGTAAGAGGCTGACCACACCGTTGGACCATTAAACTGCTGGGTCCTCACTCTGTGCTGGGGGCGGGTTTTCAGCACGTCTTTGTCCCTCCTGTCTCTCCCGTCTCGCTCCTGATGGAGGATTTTTCCCTGCAGGACTCAGTAAGATCAGCTTTCATCACTGATCTTTTTCTCAAAGACACGCGGACCTGAATGTTCACTGACACTGGATGACGATCCATTATATAATCAGTTCACGAGAAGGTTAAGCATACTCCTCCTCACCTACACGTTCTTTGTTCTCAGCCTGGCAGGAAGGTGGGGAAGAGGGCGGAGTTATGTAGTCCCGGGTGTGTCCAACAGGTCGACAGGATGTGATGTTTGCTACTGAAGGTGGAAAGGGTTTTAAATTTGTGCTTTTAACAGTTACATTGATGCTGCGATTATTATTTCATGTGCTGACTCGATGAAAAGTGGAGGACTGGCCCCGCCCACAGTGTTACCTGCTGCAGAAGATACCTGGATACCTGCATTTCCACCATGTTTCAACATTTCTGAGAGGAGATCATTCGTTTTTTTTCTTTGGATGTTGACCAAAACCAGATTTACCAAAACGTCCAAATGAAACCGTGACGTCGGAGTGATCTGAGGCTGTCGGCCGAGCTGCGCTGTGCAGTGCGAGCGACGTTTATTTCCTGTTTCATGTGTCCTGATGAGCTCGTGCAGCCTCGTGCTAACGGGCTGACTGACCTGGAAATATTCTCCTCCCCTCTCCCCCCACCGCGTACCTTTTTCGGTCCCCCAGAGGACAGCTGTGGCCTTTGTTTTTCTGAAAAGAAACCCCCCCCCACCCTCCTGTTGAAATGGTCCCTCCCCACCCGGGGCTCAGGGTGTAGGAGGACATAAATCAAGCAGGAAACCACAGAGCTTTTACTTGGGGAAGACCAGAATGGGGGGGAATGACTAATGGGAGTAGCTGGGGAGGTCACAGGAGGTGCCGGGTCGGAGGTCACGCATACCAGGATGATGGCTTTAAGAGTGTATTTAGGAGACGTTGCCAGTGCTCGCCGACGGCTTCCCATTGGTTAATCTCCAGGAAGTGATCTGATTGATTTGTGCTGATCATGTTAAACCGTTTATTTGCACAGTAACAGGTCAGATGGACCCGACTTCTGTAACACGCCTGCATCGGGGCCTCGATGTTCGCGTAAATGACGGTAAAATTTAAACCAGTGAACGAGTTTCCAGTGAAGCCAGTTTGAGCTGCTGGGTGTTTAAACTTGACCTGAAGCGATTTATCAGTAACGAGTTTATTGTTGTCGTTAAAAACAAACTCTGACTTCTTTTCTTTGACTTTCAGGTTCATCAACGCGAGGCGGCGGATCGTTCAGCCCATGATCGATCAGTCAAACAGAGCAGGTGAGGTCTCACAGGTGTATTAGCGGCTGTTTCGTTTCCATTAAATCAGAAACTCCTCCAGTATCCGTGCTCTTCCACTGTGTCTGCGTGAGCTTTCCAAACACCCGGCTGGGACTGGAACGCCAGTGGAACTCGCTCCGCGTGTAAGGCGAGCTGAAAAAGCGGCGTCTCGCTCGGTTCCTCGGAGCGTTGGAGCGAGCAGAGAGGCTTAAACTCTGAATGGCTTCTAAACCCTGGCGGGGTTAGCTCCAGACAAAGACACTAATCGCTTTGACCGACCACTCCATTCAACGTTTGAAGCCGGGATTAAAACAAATAGGAGCCCCGGCTACAGTGGAGCTAAAGTCCTGTTAGCCTTTTGGCCCTTGAGCTTTCTTAGCATTAACCCCGCGGCTGACTTCCTCACAAAGGTTTGGAGACGCTGCTGAAAGACGGCGGTGAGAAACGGCTTCAGCGACCGAGGCCGATTCCACCACGAGGACCAAAACCTCTCCGTTCGTGTCCAACCGATGGCCCCCCCCACCGCGAGAACGTCACAGCTGCTTTAACAGATGTGACGTTATTCGAACACGTAATGCAGTGATGTGATGTTACATTTCCTTTACGTTTCGCCTCTTTTCCTAATACAGCATGAGTGAAAACAGTCGTATGATATTTGGAAGCAGTCGTTTTCTATCGATTTGTGTTTTTACCCCACAGCAGAGTGAAGGAGGCTTTCATGTGAAGCCAGCTTTTATTAGAAGCAGGGGCTAACCTCCGATTCCACGTGTCCTCGCTGTAATTGGAGCGCGCTTAGCTGCGCACAGGATCGCTGCAGGATCTGCTTCTATTTTGCTCTGTTGGGAGATACAGCGTGAGCCCGCTGACGCAAACCCGACGCTTCCTGTAACCAGGGGCGCCGCTCGTAAAGGGGGAGGCGCTAACGCAGCTGGCCTCAGATGGATGAACTGAGGGGAGGCAGTCAATCACATAAAGGAGGATTATTTTGGACTGTGGATCATGCAGAGTTACTCTGCACAGACTGTAAGTGTAAAAAAAAATGTGAACATTTTGAGACTAAAGAAGATGGGCGGGAAAAAGATCACGGATGGACCTGATTGGCGCTCAGGTTCTCATGTCGACAACCGTAATAGGCTTGATTTTTCCTGGTGTTTGCGTGTGGACCTGAACACGCCTTTGTGTGTGGGTGTAAAGTGGAGGCTGTGGCGGTGTCAGTGCAGGCCGGCCGACGGCCTCGGCGCCCTCCGCCATTAAAACGAGCTGTCGTCTCTGTCCGCAGTGAGCCAAGCGCCGCCGTACGGCCCAGATGGCCAGCCAATGGGAAGCTTCATGGTGGACGGTCAGACGCCCGTGGGAATCAGACCGCCTGGTAAACACACACAGCTTATGCTGCTGTGGGTTTGATTGTGTTACATTATTGCAGAATCTGCACATTGAAATCAAAGTTTAGATTTAACACAGAGAGGACGGCTTATTGTGAACTGAGCTTCATGCAAAGCTACAGTCACGCTGCAGACATCAGTCGTGGCTGATTTCATAGTTTCAAAAGCTTTTATTTACAGAGGAGCTGAAGGAAGGGGGCAGTGCTTTCATCTGTGTGTGTGTGTGTGTGTGTGTGCGTGTGACAGGTCCGATGGGTGGTGTAGGGATGGGGATGGGCGTGGAGGGACAGTGGCACTACATGTAGCACCACCGCCTGCACCCTGCAGCCTGAGGAGGCGCCCGGCGCCGCAGGAAACCACCGTGAGTGACGCCACACAGAGCCAGCACTTCCTGCATTCTCTTCAAATTAAAGGCGTTCTAGTGTTTTCAGTGGACCCTTTGCTGCTTGAAAGGGCTTTTAATTTGAAAGAGATCTTTAGACTTTCTTGTAATCTGGATGTTTGAAGTGAATCTGCTGCTATAAAGATGTGACAGAAACACCCACAGCCTCGGCGCTGGCGGCACTCAGCCGATGTCAGTATGTCGCTCGCTTTGGATTGATCCTGAACGGCTCCAACAGCCTGAGCTTCATCTCCTCTCAGCACCTCCTCACTAATTAAAGCCAGTTCCCTCTGATTAAAGGTCAATGAATCCTCTGAGAGCCGCTCCACGTTCAGTCTAATGAACTGATCGTTAGCGAGAGGCGCGCTCATCTCTTTATTTGATTACACAGAGTCCAATTACTCTGTAAGCAGTTTTTATTATTAAGCAGGAGGGAGGGAGGGGGAAGTCAATGGAGACGGCAAGTCAACGAGATTTTCTTCTCTCAGTTTTTACTGACGATGCAGCTGTCAGTGAGACACACACACGTGTGTATTTATATCCTTGTGGGGACATCTCACTGACATAATGCTTTTCCTGGCCCCTCACCATCACAAGTGAATGCCTGACCCTAAACATGACCCAACTGTAACTAAAACCACATTTTGAGTGGCCTTCAGACTCGTGGGGACCGCGAAGCTGTTTTTTCCCCACAAGTATAGTAAACAAACACACACACACACACACACACGCGCACACACACACACGTCGGGCCTTCCGCCTGATCTTGACCCTCTGTGTTTCCTCTGCAGGACTCTGATCAGGTCTGCAGACCCCATAGCGTGGAGCGGGACCCCACGCCTCTTCACCTCCTGCCCATCAGCTCTCCGCCCTGTGGGCGTGGCCTGATGAGGAAACACCTGAGCTTGCCTCTGTTCTCGGCGAGCCTTCTCAGAGTGCTCCACAGACTAAAAAGAGAAACGTGAGGTAAGACAGTGATCGTGAAGGCAAAGACGAACACTGTCCACCGCGCGTTTCTGGATTTGATCACTTCCTGTGATTAATCTCCCAGAACGGACAGATCTGCAGCTCGGCTTCCTCTCTGCGCTCGCTGATGGACTCCTGAAGCCGTTTGCTCTGCAGACAGACAGTTTTGGACCGTAGACCCCCTGAGACCTCCCTCTCCGTAAATAAAACTGATTCTGTGGATTTCTGAGTCTGATTTTTGACTCCTGCTGCGTTCGGTGCCTCACTGAAATAAAACGTCAGCGCTTCAGTTTATTGTCCAGCTCAGCTGTGACACGTTTCTATCCAAGAGGAAAAAATAACAAATATTCACTTTGGGAAAAAACTGAAGTAAAAAAATGAATAAATTGAGAATGAGACTTCTCTTAAGGTGGAATGAAAACTTATTTTGAACTGCAGGTGACATTCAGCTCCCGTGGATCAGGTAAACAAAGATGTTTAACTGCACATGTAATCCTGAAATGTGGTCATGTGATTCCTGCAGCCTCATCATGCAGCTGTTTGTCTGCATGATGAAGGAGACTTGTTTCAAAATGTGAGTGTGTAAAAGGCCGTCTGTTAACAACAACAACAACAACATTGAACGTACATTTCAACAGTTGATGGTCAAAAACAGGAGCTGTCATTTATTCCTGTGTTACTGAATCGCTCGGGTGTCGCGAGGAGTTTTTATCGGCAGGAAAACAGATTAAAGTCCAAAATTTCTGCCTTCCTCCGACGCCTCAGTGAGCCTTATGTTTCACACCCCTGCCATAACACACAGTCCAACAGTGTGCTCTGCGAACCTCCTGGTGGGCTGTGATGGTACTGCAGGTGATCCCCATCACTTATTCACAATAAATGAATTTAAATTGAACAAGTTAAAATTCTTAATTTTCCTAAATTTAAGTGGAAAGAAATAGAATTTCAAATTTATGCTTTTGTGACGTTTGTTCATGTCGTAGCATTAACACTAGGGGTGCAACGATATTCGTATCGATATTGATCCGTTCGATACAGTGCTTTCGGTTCGGTACGCATATGTATCGAACAATACAACATTTGTAATTTATTTTATCAACTTTCCTTCTGACGATGCTGTCTGTGTTGAGCGCTCAGTGAATCTGCGTTCGACTACTCCGCCTAGGCTGCACTGTCGAGCGCAGATCCACTGAGCGCTCAACACAGACAGCATCGTCAGAAGGAAGAGCGCAGGGCAAGCTAGCGAGACAGAAGTTAAGCTCTCCTTGCAACATGGCAAATTGAACCTCCCCCACCCTCATTCAGATCTGGCGTTTGGAATTATTTTGGTTTTCATGTGACGTATGACCCTGAAGGTAAGCGAGTCATGGACTAAAGTAAAACAGTATGTTGGATGTGCCACGCAATGCTCAATTGGTGTGAACTAGTGTGTTAGCGCAGTTAGCTCGTTAACGTGTTGGCCGTCTAGCCCCATGCACGGGGCGATCGGCGGTAGCTCGTTAACGGAGATTTGCCGTGTTGTGGCGTTAAGGTCATTTCAACGAGATTAACCTGAAAGCACTAGTGGGAACACAACGAATATGACTGCACATTTACGCCGACATCATCCTAGTGCAAAGACAAAAACAACAAGCACGCTGCTAACTTTAGCCGAGTCATTTAGACAGCCGTTAGCACAGATTCTCCTTATGCTGCTGAGAATATAGCCCAGAAGAAGCGGATAGTATAGCTTTTATTTTGGAAAGAGCCATTTCTCTGTAATAAACTCTCTTTTCCAAAGATGAGTGATTCCTCAATCAGATACAGGGCTCGCAATATCGCTAGCCCGACGTCCCGGGGCTAGCGATTTTTTCAGTCGGGCTACCAAAATCTATCTCTGCCCTGCCCGTCGGGCTATTGTAGGAAGGAAAAATATATGTCAATGCTTTTGCATTCTTTCAGAAATGTAGCTGGGTAATTATGTCATTGGCATCGGTGAGCCACTGTCAATATGTGACATATTGAAATCGCGTTTGAATTTGCGCTTGTTTTTTTGCTTTCACTTTGCAATCGTGCGAACTGTGTATAGAGAGCGACAGCACTGATCTGTGAGTGATGATAATTTGTGCACCAATTCCTCTGACATCGTCTTATTAATCGTTAGCTTACTATGCAAACATGACAAGTGAAATCTCCCGCAGCTTAAACATGTGAGAGGTTGATCGCGCAGAGAATCGCTGAGCTTATGTGAGTGCGTGTGTAAAAGCAGCAGGATATATATTTTAGTTCTGCTGAGCCAAATAAGACAGGTCAGGGTGAAGAAGTGACAGCCAAAGAAAAGCTTACCACAAAACGGAAAAGTTATGACAAATCAGACTATAAGGCAAAAAGAAAGTGCAGCTTTATGGTTTCATGGACAAAAGAATTTCTGTGGCTGCAATATGACGAGCTAAATAACCAGGGCTGCACATAAGTGGTCCGCAGGTGCGCATTCGCTGTCAAAATAAAAAACACGCACAAGGGTTAGGGTTAAATTTAAAAACTGTACTTTTGAGTTAAAATATATATTTATAATTTTAATAAATGACAAATTAAAAAGGCATGAACATTTTTTTGTATCGAAAAAATATCGAACCGTGACACCAAAGTATCGAACCGAACCGAACCGAACCGTGAATTTTGTGTATCGTTGCACCCCTAATAAACACATCAGCTGCTCCACGCTTAGCCTGAATCACACAGACTCACTGGGGTTGGCTCCAGAAACTCAAATATTTTTGTCTTTATTGATATTTTAACAGGAACTAGTGACACAAAGGCACCGGGTTTAAAACCGACTGACTTCCTGCTGTTCTTCATCTCTGCCCTGTTTGGTTTTTAATGCTGAACTCGTTCATTAATGATCCGAATGCATCACAGCGAGACGTCCACAACAAGCTCCAATCAGCCCGATTTATGACTTCATTCAAGTTTCATTCACTATAAAGTTATAAGTTGTGTTTCGGGCGAGCATCACACGGTTTCTGTCTTTAAACTGGTCTCAGATCAGCGTTCAGTGTCCCAGCTCTACTGCGCCGTTTTGGCTCCACGTTTCTCTTTAATCTCGATTTTTTTAAAGTGAAAAGGCTCCAGAAATGAAAATTCATCGTGTTTACAGCTCATCCTGATATTTGAAAGATTAGCTGTGCCGGTGAGCCCCGCCCTTCACCCTATGGGGATAGGCTCCACCCCTCTGTGACCTTGTAGAACTGCTTCTGACCTCGATTAAACGTGAAGTTTGTGCTGTTTGGTTTCTGTGCACAGAGCTCGGGTTGATCTGTTGGTGTCCCGGAGGCGGAGCCTTTCCTTGGCTGCAGTCACAGTGTGAAGCTCCGAGTCTTCGTGTCTTGTTTGCGGGTGTCGCTCAGCTCGAGTCACTCCATTCGAATCGCCGCTCCGGGAGGTTCAGTGGCGACGCCTTCAGCAGGCCTGATGGGAAAGATCGGCCCGTCTGCCATGGAGAGATTTGTCCCCCTCGTGGATCTGCTGCCCCACTGTGGGAGTTTTCTACATGTGCCTCATTTCAAAGGCGGCTGACACAAAAACAAAATCATTAATCTGCTTTGGATCCTCTGCGGAGCTTTGACTTCAGATGAGTTGTGACTGACAGGCTCCATGGCACGTCCATGTTTGACTGCCATCTTAGGGGATTGTGGAAACTGCCTTCATCTCTGCTTCTAAAGAGAAATGAGTGATTAGTTGGCAGCTGTCGAGCGTCCATCTGAGGATCCAGACTCGCTGTCAGATGCACAAAGAAGAGCCGGGACGCGACGAGCTGACGGCTGCTGGGAGCGTAGCTGGGAACAACGGCGAGAGGTTTATTGTTTATCGGTGACATTTCCCACAGACGAAGCAGACAGTGAATGCATCATGTCAGATGTGTGACAGACAATGTTCAGAAAGTTCAGAGTTCACGTTCGTGGTGACGGCCAAAGTCAGCAGGGAGGTGACTGCGCTAGCTCCACCCGAGCTGGACCTCTGGGCCGTGTTTGTGCTGTTGGAGCCTTTTAATGACATCATGTGACCAATCATATAGCTGCCATGAGGTCACTGTACTAACAGTGACCTTACTAACAGAAAGCAGAGCTCTGGGATTGGTGTAGACTTAGATTGTAGGATTCTGATTGGATGTTACTGATTGGCCGGTGTCTGTGGATGATAACAGAGCTTCCTGGCATTAACTGTGCCAACCTTTGGTCCAAATATGGTCACCAAAGACTGATGTCACAGCTACCACCGTCATTTACATACAGTCTATAGTTCTGGTATGTGTGAGCACACAAACATAAATACGTCCTGTGCTCAGATGGGAACGAACCGGAGCACTAACAAGGTTCCTCCAAACACAGTCTCCTCGGGCTTCAGTCCGAGGAGACGTGAATCTTCCTCCCTCAGCAGCCTCCCCCCACACTAAAACCCTCCCCCCTCCCTCCAGCCTCCTCTGAGCGAGCCGACCTCACAGTTGGATAATTTATTGCCTTTAATTAAGCGGCTGCTTCAGGAGGGATGAAATGCGTTCCTCTGTGTTTGGGGCAAAAGGGGGAAGGTATTCAGTGTCTCGCAGAGGAACCAGAAACTCATGGATCCTGGTTACTGTGGGGAGGAAGTGGGGAGGGAGGGGTCAGTTTACCCCGACTGGACAGGAAGTCGCTTATTAGAGACAACCGACCGTTCACCTGAGAGCGCGCTCAGAGTTAGAGCACACATCCTGCAGTCTGTGAGGTCAAAGGTCATTGACACAGCTGAAAATACTCATTATAAAAAGTAACTAAAAATTCTGCTGATTAACTCATAAAATAAAAGTATCCATTTTAAACAAAGTCTGCTGTCAGGCCCACCTGATGGGTGTGGAGGCGGAGCCACTAAATCGTACGCACCGTACCTTTAAATCCTTAAAAAGAAAGTAGTCCGGGGACGGCACATACGCTAAAACGCAGAACAAAAAGTGTTTTTTCCCCGAGCAGAGAAGCGCTCAGATCCACCTGTGCTGAGGTTCTGCTCTGTGGTCCGTTACAGTCAGAGACGAGCAGGAAGCAGGTGAGGGTTTAGGGGCGGGGCTACGCGGTGATGGATAAGTCATTATGTATGGGTGTGGCGGATCTACCTGCTCTTCGAGTCAGCCGGAGGTCGCTCGGACTCGGGTGATGTCATCTTTTCAGACCGCCCCGACGCAGCTGGATGACATCAGCGACCACAGTCGAGCTCGAGTTTTCACCTTTAATACCGAGATGTTCACGCTGAGGGAAAGCCGCCATCTTTGATGAAGCTCTGGGTTTATTTCCAGGCTTTATTCCCCCCTCACGTCTCCTTCTTGAGCCTGCTGGAACTTTATGGGCCAACTTTAAACTTTTTAGCTTAACTGGAGCGAAACAGGACGTTTCCCAAAGCGCTTCATTAAACTGTCGTTTTCCAAAACAAGAATCACGTCGTTTCTCACAGTGACTGGAGGGAAGCAGAAGGAGAGGACTCGACGCTCTTCACCGTCAGACCCACAGTGCTCTGCTTCTCACTGTTTGGGCAGAACAGGAAGACGTTTGGACCGACAGCATAGCGACGGCGCCTTCTCCAGCTTCTTGTATTTCAGTCTTCGATGGAGATAACGAAAGTTCGACTGAACCCTTCAATGACCGTGTCTGTTCCACGAGTCCCACGGCTCGATTTCCATTCATGTTTCCAGGTCCCTGTGACCTGACGTAGCTCCTCTGGTCTGAGGGCGCAGCTGGAGGATGTGGTGGCGTCAGGTTTTCATGTCCTGACTCAGGTCAGCCAGTTACAGCCGAGGCAGAATGAGCTCAGGGCTTCCCACAGGTCCGTCCAACATTCCCTGTTTCTGGAGCAGCGCCGGATGTTCGGCATGAAGACTTTGGCTCAAAGGAGGCCTCGAGAGAGGGTCAGCCGGCGAGGAGAGAAGCCTCGTTGCTTGGTTTCGTGTTCTGTTGGCGCTCGCAGAACTGGAAGCACAGCACACGCTCAGGCTCTGCTCTCGAGG